TGCTATTCGAACTTATTCATGGTCGGGCAATGGAACGTCTGCTCCATCGTTATCGATTGCCATTCAGTAAGCTGGAGAACTATTCCCTTCATAATTTAAGTATGCTCTGGGCATCGGTGACTAGATGCCTTTGGGGTTCTACAAGAGTATATTCCTGTCTTCAAACCTTCTGTAAACCGCCGCATTTTTTCGTAGAACTTTCGAGCATTACCCCTGTCGGCCAGCTTATTAAGCTCTTCAGACTCACGCATTTCGGCCTCTTTCTTTGTCTGTCCACAAATACGTCTCGCTTCCTTCTTCAACCCTCTATCTATCCCATCACGCACGTGTTGCGGTCGATCGTAACGTTACGAAGTAGGCAACCTGTTTTCTCTCCTCTGCAACACGGTACTGATCATCCTACCAGCTGTTCTTTTGCATTTTCCGAAAATCGATGGTTTCGGTTGCAGCTGTACGAAAGGAGCTTGAAATGCTGTCCCACAGTTCCCTTATACCGAGTTATTAAAGAGTGCTCTCAGAGAGCTTGCACAGTCGAGTAGAAAAACGTTCGGCTATCTGTTGTGATTGCAGCTTCTCGACGTCGAACCTTCCTTGTGTTTATTTTCGTGCGTTTTTTGCAGCAGAAAGGCGAGTGCGAATCTTTACTGCCACAATATAGTGGTCCGAGTCGATGTCAGCACCTCGGAGCGCACGCACGTCTAAAACACTGGATAAGTGTCTTCCGTCTATTACAACATGATCGACCTGGTTGGTGGCTTTTCGATCGGGAGACAGCCAAGTGACTTGATGAATCTTCTTATGCTGGGATCTAGTACTACAGATAAATTTTTATTTCACTAATCCAATAATTGGCAATCCAATAGTGAGGTAATTTGTCAACTTTCATCGGAAATAAAATTTTGCGAAGTGAAACTGTCTCAAAACTTCGGAAATCTCAGATCAGGGATTCAAGCGTGTCAAAATGAAACGAATGATATGTGTAAATCAGGTTGTAAATACAAGTAATTTAAAATATATCGGTCAACGCGAATATTTTCCTGATATTAATGTAGCTTAGAACGGACTAATCTCGATTCAGTTCGTCCCTTAATTTCCGTATCCGTAAAGAAATGATTTTAGAACTTCTTATATTAACGAGCACAAAAGTTTATACAGTGTCCTCTTGTGATCAAATTCATAAGTGAATTTTGAGTAATCCCCTCCCGCAACAATACACTTATGCCAGCGAATTTTCTAGTCATCAAAGCACTTGGAAAAATCCTCCGTTGTGATGGCCTTCTTCGATTCAACTCTTATATCATCATTTGAGTCAAAACGGTGTCTTCAGAGTGACACGAAGTGGATGCAATTCCGTCTCATGGAGTATCTGTGGGTTGGAAGCACTCCATATTCGACAATTTTTTTTGTTTATGTTGCCGTTTAAATCGAAATGGGCCTCGTCAGACATGAAAAGACAGTTCAACATGTTTCCATCCTCTTCCACTAATTGGAGTATCTTCTGTCAAAATTCCAAGCGAATCGGCAAGTCTGCAGCGTTCAGTTTGTTGGCCATTTGAATTTTATATGGGAATAAGTCCAAATATTAGTGCATCATTGACTGTAATCACTGTCTGCTTACACCCATTTGAACAGATAAGCTTCTTGTCGAAACACGTGGATTGTTTTGTATGGCAGCAGCGATTATTTCCTCCGTTCGAACTGAATGGTTTCGATGGTAAGGTCTTCTGTTGATTATGCCATGCTCGGCAAAATTGTTTACAAGTCTCATTATGGTCCATCTGCTCGGGGGATTGCCGCCAAATGTGCGCCTATACTCTCTTTGAACCGAAACTACGAACTCCACTACGAACCGCGTGGTAGCGGTGGACAATAAAAAAAACTTGTTTCAGTGTCCCAGTTATTCATTTTTGTTAAATGTAAAAATCAATCTGCAAAATAAAAAAAAAAATTAACCAGATTCACTAAATAGAAAAAAGTTACTTAATTTTTTTTTGGTAGCGGCTTTCATCAGCCACCAATGCCCAACGCGGTTTAATGTAAATATCTCCTAAACCACTTAAGTTACAAAAATTGAACTTGCTCAAGACAAACCTCTTAAATATCAAATCTAAATTGCAAGACACCACCGTTCACTCCCCATATAACGGTACTTTTGAAAACTACAAAAAGTGCGATAAATTAATAAAACATTACACATTATGAGAAGCCCTAATGGAAGTTGGGGTAAAAACTGGACGATATCCTTGACACCGCCCACTTTGACGTGAAATCAAAATTTTGTACGTGACATTACTCTAACATTCATAGGTAACAAATTGAAAAGGGGCAGAATCGGACTACAATCCCATATAATACAACTTTAAAATCAATTTCAGTAATTCACTTTCCTGGGTAAAAATGAAGAAGCGATTAATATAACGTGATAAAGCTTTGAACGAATAATGGCGTTGAAATAATCTATCAATCCATCAAAAATGGGTTGGATCGAGTCAGTACTATATATACAATACCTTTAGCTTATATACATATGAATGTATACCTATGCCTAACCCGAACTTACAGGCGACTTTATACCGCATATATGACCAACATGTGAGTTATCGTAATGAAATGAGAGATCGTTTTTTACAGATAACGATGTATCTTTGCGCATAAAATAATAAAACAGAGTGAAAATAAACATATATATAGTATAACATTCGGTTGACTTTACTCAATATGATTGGTGATGGTGAGTGCGGTACCTTAATAAATCACAGGGAACTTATAATAAGTATGTGGCATTTTAAATTTGTAGTATTGGTAAAAATAGATAAAATTGGATGAATGCTATGCCCAACTCCCATATACGACATATATATCATGATTTTCGTTTCTCTCACAAACCTTATGTCGAATATGCCGGTTAGTGTGGGATATATATATATATGGAAAATATTTGAAGGTACTTTCTTTTAGTGTGCTTTATTGCCAAATGCAGTTTGAGTACAATAGCGCACTCGGTTTCGCGGTTTCAATTAATACTACTTCTGATCTTTATTATGTGCGAATTAGGTTTCGATTAGAACTATATTTATAACGTTTTACTTATAGCCAAGTTTCAATATAAATAATTTGTTCTAGATTCTTACCCTCTTTCCAGCTAGAATCATTTTTCCAAAATTTTTGTATATACATATATATATACAATTGCTAGGATTCCGATCCTCTGTTTGATGTTTTGCACCTTGAGTTATTTCCCTGACTTTATTTGTTGGAGAGGTATAAAGTTCTCATCCCACAAAACATTAGAGCGGTACTAAACAAACTCTCTCAAGAATTTTCAACATCTCCTATGACGGTGTCAAAATGAGTGAAACCGCCAATAGTTGTGCTGAAATCTGCTACAGGTATAAGTGCAATAACTCATTAACTGAAGATCTATGTATATCAGATACATTAAATTTTTTATTTAGTATTTAATAAGTAGATATCAAATGTGATTGTCATTCATTCACATTTTTTAATCGTTTCACTCTAATGCGAGTATTTAAATGGGAAAAATTTTGGAAAAATTATTCTATCTGGAAAGAGGGTAAGAATCTAGAACAAATTATTTATATTGATATTTGGCTATTAGTAAAAAGTTATAAAATACAATTCTAATCGAAACCTAATTCGCACATGATAAAGACCAGAAGTAGTATTAATTTAAGTATAGGCATGCGAAACCGAGTGCGTTATTGTACTCAAAATCCATTTGGCAATAAAGCACACTAAAAGAAATTACATTAAAATATTTTCCATGAGTTACGGTATCCTCTATTTATTTAAATAAGTATTTCCATGACCTTTATTATGCCTTGCAATAAGATTTTTAGAAATTTTAAACTTGCTTATGGTAATTTTGTTTCAGTTAGCCTCTCTGGTTTCGGCGTCTTTGCCTTCTTTGTTGTCATCTATGCGCAAGGCTGCGAGCTTGACGCTGCCTTCTTCTTCTTGCACGTCTTCCTCTAGCAGCTAGTCTTCTTCGTCTTCTTCTTCTCGCAGCAGCATTACTGGTAGTGCTACTGGAATTTGTTGTGGAAGTAGCTGTTGGGGAGGTGGCGGCTGTTGATGGGCCAGATGATGTACCCGTAGGAGTTGATACCGCTGTTCCTGTTGGCGGTGTTGCGGGTTGAGCGTTACTCGCAAATCTGGTAGTGATGGTTATAACCAATACGCCCACCAACAAGTATGGTAGCGCTTTCATATTTTATTCGCCTTTGGTAAAAACTCGGTAGATTGTTCTGTCTAGATTTCGACTGTGCTGCTAGTAAGGGTTAGTGCACGTTAAATAGTAAAGCTGATCATACTTTTATAAATTTTAATATATGTTTTAAGTCTTGGAAATTTTATTGCAAATTACTAAAATTAGGTTCTTCCTAGAACTTGACAAATATTTGAGAAAAATTTGGTAAATTAATAGACGAAAAAATAACATATTTGGTAATATGTTACACATATCAAAAAAGTACCAATTGTTTAAACCGACTCGTGCGCGGTCTTCAAAAAATACTATTTACAGCAAAAAGTACTATGTTCTAATACGATGTATTTATACAGATGCGTATTGCGTGATAATATTTATGTAATTATTATATTTCAATGTAATAAAATGTATGTCCGGTTTTGAAGTTTAAACCCCAGATAATGAATATGTGAATCTCATTGCCTATGTCTGACTCGTTAAATCTGCTAGATATATTATTAAAAATCAGAAATAATATTTTTTTCTGGTAATAACTTGCTTTTGGGTCAAAAATTCATAAAATCAGGTCATTACTTTCCCCTTTCCCGCCATCATTATGCCTAATATAAAGACTGTCGGAATAAAAAAAAATCATAAAATCGAATCAAAAGTCACTATACCTCTCACACACTTAGTATAAGACCTTAAAATAATATATCTACTACTGCTATTAGGAGCTTTACATGGGCAAGCGTAAAATATTTTCAATTTCAATGTTCTTTCATTTCAGCTCTTCGGCTACGGAATTAATATCAAGACGTGGTGTTTTTTCACGACATCATTATGGTTCAGTTGACCAAGTAAGTTCCTAGACTATACAAGTATTATACTTACGTTTTAAAGACAAGTATATATACTGCGAGTACTTTTAGCAAAATCAATAAATAGATAACTTTTATTATAATACTTAGATTTTTCCCCTATAAAAATATTAAACTTTTTACAACCGTAAAAATACTCAAATTAAATTGTTCAGCCTATTTCAACGTTCGTCTCGAGTTGTATGTCCTCGTATTTGTCGGAACTGCCGATATCGGAATATGGATTTTGAGTTTAAGATTTTTTTCTTCGACGATTGAGATTTGGTGATTTAACTGTTCCCGAAAATTGCTTATAAAGGAAAAGTGGTTAAAATGTTCCTAGTAATATCGAACTTCATCTACAAAAACATTAATTTATATAAAAGTATTTTCGCTCTGAATTATAAACAAATCACTATGTACTTTTCCACATGTGTTCTATGGTATTTAAAAACTACAGACTTCATTGAAATGTGAAGAGATTCCTGCTATTCCTGCCTGCCTAACCAAACACAAGAAACATATGCTTATAATAAAGCATTATATAAATATAGGTATAATGGATTTTTACAAGAAATTGGTTGCGATTGGTTAGTTTGTATGACAACTGTATGCTTTAGTGATCCGATCTCAACAATTTCTTCGGATATTGTAGTTGCCATAGGCAATAATCCATGTTAAAGTGGCGGAAATATTTTCAAATAATAAAGTTTTTTATACAAGCATTTGATTCCTAACTTTAAGTTTGTTTGCTAGCCATATGTAAGGATGGAATTCGACGATTCCGAAAAAAAGCAGAGTTAAAAGTACACGTGCAAAATTTCATTTCGATATCTCAAAAATTGAGCTAGTTCGGGTATATACAGATGGACAGACGGACATGGCTAAATCGAATCAGCTCATCAGGCTGCTCATGCATATATTTTTTAAAGGGTCTCCGACGTTTCCGTCTGCGTATTGCAAAACTTCATGGCTAACTTAGTTTACCCTATTCAGGATTTAGTAAGAAGTGTGATTACCTTAAAATCATTGTTGCTGTCAATTTGTATACTAATACTAGTGAGATAATAAAAAAATGTTTTTATAAGTATATGTATTTATTCGAGACGTACATTATTATTTTATCTTCACAAAAATAAGTTTTTTGAAGTTAAAAAAATGTAAGTTTCCAGTCGCTTACACGTACGCGTTAATTCCTTTGAGCTACATTCACCCTCTACGAATCCTTTGGGCTCCTGGCCTCCGATTTAGACCGTTTCTACGAATGGGCCTAAGCCTCTGATTTTGGTTGTTGCCTCTTCTGATGTTTCCCCTTCTCCTTGCGTTATTGCCATTATTTGCCCTTCTAATGACACGAATTCTACGACCATTTCTGTTGTTACGGCGTAAATTGTTGCCTCGTCGTATAATTATTCTCCTTGGGCCACGAATTGGACGTAGAGGACGAGCAATTGGGCCTAAACCGGTTGCTGTTGGAGTTATCACTTGAGAATTCACCTCTATTAGTACAGCGGCTAGGAAAATGGTTACTAGTAGAGCAAATTTCGCCATTATATTTCTTTAATAGTTGTCTTAACTTTTTGTAACGATGTTACTATACTGAATAGCGGAGAAACAGTGCTATATATACCCGAAACACATCTGTTGACCTTGAATTTGTTATTTACATGCAAATATTATTTTAAAAGAAACATTTTTTTTATTTCCACAACTATTTTTATTATTTTCTGGTGTACTAAACTCGCACATGTCTCATTTCCGGTTATTTTTTACAAATAAATAAACGCAACATAAAATGAACTCTCTAATTTGGACATTGAATTAAAGCAAAATAATATATATTTAATGTTAAACATCTGTTTAACTTAAATGGTGTTTAAATAAGATGTGGGGGATTTTTCGATTACATACATGTCATTACTTTGAAGCATTACGTGCGTTAAAAAAATAATGTTTTCCTATGATTCGGTCCGATTGTTACAGTCTTGCAACATACTGCTACAGAGTATAATAGTTGTGTTGACATAACGGTTGTACGTATCGCATTAAAAAAAAAGGGTTGTATGTATCACATTGAAAACACAGTATTAAAATGTGTGAAATAGGACACTAACTCCGCTCACTGCTCATATATGTATATGGGGCCTAAAGAAAGTATTGGTTGAATTAAACTAATTTTTAACATACAAATGTCAGAAAAGTATTATCCTTAAATTTCAATTATCTCAGACATTGACTGATATTTTCGATCGAAAGTCAACTATAGATACTTTGGTCCACATACCGCTACCTATGGGCTTGAACAGCTTTTGTTAGATTTGAACAATTTTCGGTCATAAGCTGGTAACTAAAGGTATTATTTGTGCAAACTTTGTCATACCAAATTTCTACGTCATTATCGCATTTTGTACTTTATTTATCGCGCCTTCAGTAGTTTAGTTATAAGGGGAGTTCAACCGGGTTTTCATCCGATTGCATCCATTTTCACACCTTCGGTAGAAGTTTTTATTAGTGATAAGCATTATTTGGTTGTTTACCTTTAGTGGCTTAGGAGATATATACATTAAACGTATTTTTCGCTAACACATGCCCCTTGCTACTGCGATCCCCTGTACCAAGTTACAGTTTTATAGCTTAATTTAGTTCCTAGTTATGGCGCTTTATTAGGTTTTCGGTTAAGGGGTTGGGTAATCACCGTTAACTATAAACAAATAATCTATGAACTCGTAAGTTTAATATCATGATGGAAAAATTTCAAATTGATCATTCAAAGTCATGATGCGTATGGAGCCACACCATTTCCATTTCTTTGCTTTTCAATGCACTTACTTGTTTGGAAGTATGCAATGGTTTTTTTTTTTTTTTTTTTTTTTTTTTTTTTTTTTTTTTTTTTTTTTTTTTTTTTTTTGAGTAAATTTGATGCATTTGCCAGATCGATTGATTATTTGTGCAGAATCACGCGAGAATCAACTTCCATACTCGTACTTGCTTTAACAAATCCAGAAAATATCTTCAGGTGAAATACGTATACGATTTCTAGGGCAGTTTTACACCCTATTTTCGACCCTCTGCATTGTGAGTAGTACGTTACGATTTTACAGTGGAAAAATATCGAACAAAGAATTTTGTATTTATTTAACAAAATTTCGTGTGCGGAATCTTTGCAAATATTGGAAAAGACTTAAGGTGATTAAATTTCATTAAAAACACAATCCTATTAGTTATAGATAGACTATATAGACGGTTGAGAGTTTGTTGAAGACATGCTCGTACTGGACGAACTTTTCAACTGAAATCGTCAGGAAAATGGTAGAGCGATAGCAAGAAAGCTCGACATCTCTCGCGAGTGCTTTTAAATGATTGCCCTAGTCGTCCCGATAACGATGAATATTTGTCATATTTTCCAAAAAGAGAACAGTAAGTAGGTCTCTGTGGACATGCTTGATCATACGAACTCTGATCATACATATATGGAGAGCCTTATAACTGCCGATGAGATATGGGTTTATGAGTTTGACATCCAAACAAGTCAAGAATCATCGGAACGGAGGGAAAAAACGAACCGAAATCAAACAAGTAAGGAAGGCCTAAGTTCGGGTGTTACCGAACATTTTATACTCTCGCATGATAAAATGATAATCGAGATTTCAGGCGTGGTTGTGAACCGATTTCACCCATATTTGGTACATATCATCAAGGTGTTAAGAAAATATTATATACCGAATTTCATTGAAATCGCTTGAGTACTTCCTAAGATATGGTTTTTGGTCCATAAGTGGGCGACGCCACGCCCATTTTCAATTTTTAAAGAAGCCTGGATGCAGCTTCCTTCTGACATTTTTTCCGTAAAATTTAATGTTTCTGACGTTTTTTGTTAGTCGGTTAACGCACTTTTAGTGATTTTCAACATAACCTTTGTATGGGAAGTGGGCGTGGTTATTATCCGATTTCTTCCATTTTGGAAGTGTATATGGAAGTGCATAGAACAAACGACTCTATACAGTTTGGTTGACATAGCTATAGTAGTTTTCGAGATATGTACAAACTTAATAGCAGATATCTCTTTAAAATGAAAAACGAAAATCTTCGATATATTATCATTCATAAAACCCATTGTCAATAAATCGGATTTAACCGGTTTGTTACCTCAGATTCAAAGGTGACCTTTCATTGTCTTCCTTATGTCATACAAAAGGATTTCAATTAATTTCGAAGTAAGTAAAATTATAATATTTATTTATTCATCATGTAAGTAATTACAGTTTAAGGACATTTTGCTATAGCTAGCCATTCTGATTTCCTTGCTGTCTTCCTTGCTGTCTTCCTTGCTGTCTTCCTTGCTGTCTTCGTTGACGTCTTCGTTGACGTCTTCGTTGACGTCTTCGTTGACGTCTTCGTCTTCTTCTACGGTTGGCTCGACGTCGCCTTCTTCTTCTTGCACGTCTTCTTCTAGCAGCCTGTCTTCTTCGTCTTCTCCTCCTCGCAGCAGCGTTACCGCCGTTACCGCCGGGATTTGTTGCTGGAGCAGCTGTTGTTATAGTGACGGCACCCGCTGGGGCTGCTGTTGTTGCTGTTGTGGTACCTGCTGGAGCTGCAGTTGTTGTAGTAGCACCTGCTGACGCTGCTGTAGTTGTTGTTGTGGCAGCTGACGAGACTGTTGTAGTTGCCGTTGGTTGAGCGTCACCCGCAAATCTGGTGGTGATGGTTAGAACCAATACACCCACCAGTAGTGATGGTAGCACTTTCATATTGTATTCGACTTTGTTAAAAACTCAGCAAGTTGCTTTGTTGTTATCCAGATTTCGACTACGCTGTTAGCGAGCTTCAGTGAGCTTTAAATAGTAGAGCTGATCTTACTTTCCTAAATGGTTTTAACATTAGTTTTATTTGTTGGAAATATTGTACTTAGAATTATTAAAACAATATTGTTTATTGTAAATTATTAAGATTAGACGTTCTTCCTAACACTTGAAAAATATTTGAAAAACTTCATTCCATTT